TAGGTTGGTGTGATTGCTTGTGGTAAATGTGGGAGTGAAATTAGCAAGTCTTGCTTTGTGGCTCTGTGCTTTTTCTATAGGCCTCCTAGAGTAAGCCAGATGTATCCCATTTGCTGCCATTCCCAACCACCCTGCCAAGGTAAAAAGTTCCAGGGACCTAGTCTGGATTTTTAAATCACGCTCACCCAGCCAGCAGATTAGTCTGTTCAGTTGTCTTGTGAAAGGTCCTATTTCTAGGAAGAATGATTGTAGGCATGTACCTGAATCTATCAGCTGGGAAAACTGGTCATCACTACAAAAATGGAGAGACCCTCCCCATCAGATGTGCCACCGAAACTCTGCCACTGGCTCTTCTGAGAATACTGGATTATCAGTTGGCAGGGGTATAAAAAAAACTAACAAAAAAAAAAAAAAAAGAAGGAAGACCACAGCAGATCACATAGAAGAGGTTGCATGTTTTTTTCTCCGTGGAACGTGGCAAAACACTTTCAGTAAAGAGCTGGTACAAGAAAACATGGTTTGAATTAATCTAAGAGCAAATCTAGCTGGGGATGCTATGAGGTCTTAGCTTAAGAAGTCAAAAAATATCAAGGGCAGATCTGTAAAGCAGAACAGGGTGGCTGTTCCCTGCTTATCCAGAAATTCGGTGACTAGGGCCACATGATAAAGTTGCACTTTCTTTTCTTGTCTGAACAGATGCATTCTGATCAGTTTGCTGGTATTGCTCTTGCTGAAGCTTTTGATGACACAGTAAGGTTTGTTATCAACCAGAAAAGATGGGTAATCTCAATATAGTGAATCAAACCCTGTCAGGCAGAGGTGGGAGCTGAACTTGCATCACTTGCATTGTGAATGAATATAGTAACCTTTTAGGAAGTTTGGTACAGCCAAACCAGCTTGTCACCTGTGTATTGTGCTTGTCTTTCACTTTTGGGTTCCAAATTCAAAGGTAAAGAATTCATCTGGGGCTAATCGGAAGTCCAACCTGAAATTCAATGTGCTTTCTCATTGGTTTCACAAGGAAGACTAATTTTAGCTCTGTAAAATTTTGGTATAACTCTTCTTCATAATATGTCAATAACTATTAATGTTGCTTTTATTTCTTGCTGTATTTCGCTTATTAAAATATCTTGTATCAAGGTTTGATTTAATATATCTCTTTCTAAGCACAACTTTAGTGCATTTTAAATACTTAATTATATTAAGACATATCTATTTTCAAAATAATTCATTTGGAATTTTTTTTCAGTACAGAATAACTTTTTAGGGATCACAGTCTTTGTCTCAGAGCCAAAGTGTGTAAGCTAGGAGACTTAATAATTTGCTCTTCCCAACCTGAATTAGCTGTTATATGAACTTGAGAGATGCTGCTGTCTTCATGGATTATCTTAGGCCCCTTGGGAATGACGCATATTTTAAATGAGAACACGGATTGCTGGAGGAGGTTTAATGTTCGCGATAGTAGTGCCAAGATAAGCAGGTCTGTACTGAACGAAAGGATCTTGGGTTTGAAACTTCTCACTAATTCACTGCAGACTGAAAGCTGCCAGATACAGACCTCAAGGAGGTATTTTTAAGAGCCGTGAGGACTTGGCCTTTGAGAGCTCCCAGTGGTGTCTGGGTCTGATCTCTGCTCCTGTGGAATTTGAGTTATCTCATTCATGCTAGAGGGTGAATGCTGAATTCCTGTCGGCCCTGCTAAGAGTTAATTTGCAGCTTAGTGGAGTTTGGGCAGTAAAAAAAGTCAAAGCCTGTGATACAAGGAAACAAGAAACGTGAGACTGTGTGAAACACCGGACTCTAGAAGGCATCACACAGACAGCTGTGGTATTTGGGGTCTTCTGAGGAGAACGCTGATCTGTTAAGCAATGTCTCTTTGCTACAGGAAGAAAGAAAGGATGTATCCATGGTGGAAGGCCTTCCTCAGCACTGCACAGAATCAGTGTTTCTCTGGCCATTGAGTGTTGCTGGGTGGAGCAGAATTTGCTTGGTTACTAGAGTGCAGAGAAGACCTCTAATTCCTAAACAGGGGGATCCACCTGCCACTAAATTATATAACTATGGAGCAGGATGTCCCAAGCACAGGAATCCCTGTCAAGGTGGTTATTCTGGTAGTCCTGCCCTCTGTGGCACCATAGCAAAAAAGGCTAGGGGAGTGAAGAGCTGTTTGGAGGTGTAATGTGTGTGCATAATGAAAGCATTGAGTGCATATAACCTGAACTGTCTCTCAGTAACCATCCTAGCCTCTGTCTCAGCAAAGCTAGGCATGCCTAGTTGTGAGATAAAATAGAAAGAAAACCAAACAGCAAAACATGGTGGCTACTGAGCTGGGTCCTGCACGCAGACATTACAGTTGAAGGATACTGGTAACTGTACACTGTGGGAATTGATGAGTCTTGCTGCTTTCATTGCAAAAGTATTTTGGTTTTTTTCCTATTCTGTTACTTAGCAAGATGGAAGGCAAAACCATCCTGCTAAAGGGAGGAAACTGTTTTGGTTTTGAAGAGATATTTCCACTTTAATTTGTATATCCGATATACAAATTAATTACCTGTATGTGGATGTGGGTTGACACCTCGTGGGTGCTGGTGGATGAAAAGCTCAACAGGGCCCAGCAATGTGCACTCACAGCCCAGAAAGTCAACTGTGAGCTGGGCTGCATTGAAAGAACTGGCCAGCTGTTTGAGGGGAGGCCATTCTACTCTGCTCTTGCAGAGTACTGGAGTACTCATCCAGCTCTGAATAAGCTGAACATTGGAAGGACACAGACCTTTTGGAGCAAGGCCAGAGAAGGGTTGTGAAGATCGTCAGAGGACTGGAACAGCTCTCCTGTGAAGACAGACTTGAAAGAATTGTGGCTGTTCAGCCTGGAGAAGAGGACACTCCTGGAAGATACTGTGAAGGTGCTGAGGCACTTGAACAGGTTTCCCAGAAAAGTTGTGGATGCCCCATCCCTGGCTGGAAGTGTTCATGGCCACACTGGGTGGGGCTCTGAGCAGTCTTGTCAAGTGCAAAGTGTTCCTGCCCTTGGCAAGGGTGCTGGAACTAGATGATTTTGAGTCCATTCCAACACAAACCATTCTATGATTCTATGATATGAATGCTTTAAAGCTTTTTCTTAAAAAACAAGTTAAGTGAAATCAGTATCAGAAGTGGTGTAGGGTTCTATTCCTTATCTCCCATGTTTACATTTCCCTCAGTACTACAGCACTTCCTAAGGTTTCTGTTCCCTTTGCAAGTCTGTGTGACTTGTGGAGAACAAGCAGTTCTGAAATATTGGAGGAGAAAGGGATCTGTGGTGCCAGTGTTTGTGGCTGTAGCTGGTATTTGCACAAAAAGGGAATAGAGACAGATGGCTGGAAGGACAGTGCTGCCTGTGAGAGCATGAGTCTCACATACAAGGAGATGCTCAGTTTTTTTAATCTTAAATTTTGTAGCTTTGGCATAAACCCACATTTTCAGGAAATCTGTCTGGATACAGTTCACAAAATGCAGCGGTTACAATCCAAGAGCACAGTTGCCTCAATATCTGCAGAGTCAGCCATACACTGCCAGGGCTGTGCTGTGTGTTCTGTGTGCCAAGAGCAGTGGAGGGATGGTGCTCCAGTTGCCATTCAAGTGGAAGCCCTTGGAGTGGGGACAGCTGCAGGACAGGGAACAAGTCTGATTGAGATGGATGGGAGGGGCTCAGGCTGGAAGTACAAGCTCTCCAGTGAGGAGAGCGAAGTGAAATGCAAAAGCTGCCTCTTATAAGCATGAGATGTGGCTACTGAGGAGGGGCAGAGGCCTGTTGCCATAGTGGGCTATTCTGACTAGCCAAGAGGCTTGCCCTCAAGAGTAATAATTGATTGCCCATGAGGTATGTTGCAATTCCCTGGGACTGGGAAATGCTGTGAGATGGGTATGGGAGTGTTCCATGGAAGGCTGCAGCAGATTGAAGAAACTGAGGCAGAACAGTTCCACTGGTTTTAGGTTTTTATCTGAATCTTTTTTTCTGCTGAACTCTCAGAGCTGATGGACAGTTTATACAGTGCAGGTCTAGATGGTGAGAAGTCAAGGCCTCAGTGAAGTCAGGTGAGTTCTGGTGGGTGTTATTTATGTGCTTATTGCAAAGGAGTAATCTTGGCCAGCCTGGGTTTTCCAACTCCTATCAACTGCCCTACAGCCTTGACATCAGGAAACTGAGCCAGTCTGGTGGGAGAAAACTTGGGCTGTGCATTGCAAGAGCAGAACTTGCCCCAGTAAAGCAGGAGCAACAGAAGGAGAGTTACTGGCTTTCTCCATGGCATGTGACTCTGAAGCACAAGACTTGATCTTGGTCACTTGTCCTGTATATTTTGGTAACACTAAGCTGCTGCTTGTGACTACCTGCAGTTGTGATGCTGGCAGATGCTTCTCTATTTTAACATTTTCTTTCCAGTGTGCCACCTCTTTGAATGGGTAAAAAGTTTGCCCATTTGGCTAGTGCTCTCACAGGCCAAAACCAAGATGTTATATGAGGAGATTAAGTTTCTTTCAACTTCCCTGTCTCTTGCTGAATACACCTTTGCTTGCTTGCAGATCTCTCATCTCCTTCCTCTGTAGTGCTATTAGTGCTATGTGGGGAGTCTGGGGGATGTTTAGTTTTTTTTTTTTCTTTCCTATTTGTTTTTCTTGCCATTTCTTGCTTGTGGCTTTACTTGGTTTTCTTCCCATCAGAGCAGAGGGTATAACACCATCCTCCTCTCTCACCACTTCACTGCCTTTTGCTATCTTAGATTTGTGCGCCAGACCCTCACCTTTACTGCTCATCTGCCCACTCAGCGCATTTCCTGAGATGGAGCCCCTGCTGTTAACCTGCTCTGCTTTCACTGTGATTTTTTCTTTTCCACCTTGTCATCAGAAAACCTGCAAACATTTATTTTCTCTGCCTTTCTTCCTCTTCCTGCCTGCATCTTCTCAGATTTTGCTCAGAGATGGCTGTGTCACAGACCTGAGAAGGGGAAAACAGTGTTTAGCATGTCTGGTTCACAGCAATACCAACATGGATCAGGGGGTCTAAAGCAGCATGGTGAGTAGCCAGCCAGTCCTCCTCCTGAGGGCTGGCTGCTGCCATTTGTCTCTCCAGGATATCTGAGAGATTATCTCAGGTGTTCTTCTGATACCATGTACTAATGCACACCATGTTGCAGGGACTCAGTATGTGGCATGACGATTACCACATGGTGTGCTGTGGAATTATTTGGGATCTTTAATAATGGTGCATAAGGTTTTGCATCATCCTACAATAAAGCTACTGAGGGCATGCACAAAATTGCAGTTTTCCTAATGTTCTGTTGCTTAATGCTGCACTGGAGGATGTAAGCGGAGGAAAAACTCTTCTGTGGCTCATGTGTGAATCAAGTTCTCTACCATTTTACAGGTCTGCTCTTGGCTTTCAGAGAGTTACTACAGGATATTGTTGCCATGTCATGTTTACACACAAGTACCTCTTTCTCTATAGGTTGTCTGGCAGGAGACAGGATGTGGTTGCTCTCAACATATGTGTGGCTTTGGAGCAGTAAGCCCCAAACCCTGTAGGGTCTCAACAATTGTTACTACTCACACTGACTAAATATAACCAAAGCTATGTATTATGTGGCATCTCTGGTGGCCTAGAGTATCCTTGGGGCAGAGGTTATTTCATCAGTCATGAATTATTACATTAATGTTCAGTTTGAGTACCTGTGTGGGCAATTGGCTGCACCTGAAATCTGTGTAATATTTCTTGAAGTGAAATTGTCTCTACTAGCATTTCCTGCACAACTTTTTCTTGGTGTGTATGTGAGGCAACAGAGGCAAAGTTAGACAGGAAACTCTGACTAAATATAAAGGAAAAGTTTTTGCCATGAGGATGGGCAGTGACTGGACCAGAGATCTTGAAAGACTGAGTTACCTTTCTCCTTGGAGATACTAAAAACTTGACTGGACAAGGTCTGGAGCAATCAACTTTAATGGGGCTTAGTTTAAACAGTCAGGCCCTAGGAGTCCAGAGGTCCTTCCCAACCTACCTCATTCTGTAGGGTTTTTCAGCTGAGCTAAGCTGTGCCAGATATGATTAGACTCTGGATGAATTATTGTCTTTGTACTGGAGTTGAATTTCTCCATATTGTTTTCTTCAATGCAGGCAGTGATCCAGATGGACAGAGCAGTAAGGCGCTTGGAGCCATGGAAGATCGCAGTCATTGTTGTGTCAGTGATAGTAGCCTTAGCCCTCATCATTGGCTTGATTACATTTCTTTTGTGCCATGGTAAGTGCCCTGCTACTTTGTTGTGACAAACTTTCAGGAATCTGTTGTGTTTCACTTGCGACTGTGGTCCTGCCTGATGATTTAGGCATGCAATTTTCCTCTGGTATAAAACTTACATGAGAACTTTCAAAATGCTATTTGAGAGCTAGATTGATCTGAAGACCTGTAAGAATACTTGAAATGTGCTTTACTTGAAGCAGGGATTTCAGTTTTAGCCCTCCTTTTGTTTCTTGCCCTGGTTTTTCCACTGGTATCCAGTGTCTCCACTGACTGACCGAAGGATAACAGTCTTTTCTATAAGCCAGTGGTGTGTCCAGTACTCAGGCTATGCATAGTAAGCTTAATCTTTTATGGGGTTTTTGCAGAAACTCAACCTGGCCCCTCTAGCTGAGAATATTCCAGAAAGAGACAGGGCAGAGCTTTAGGCTTTTCAGACCTCAGAACTCAGTTCTGGTGGCCAAGAGCCCAGTTTCAGCAGCAGATCATAGAATCATTAAAATTGGAAAAGATCTTTAAGATCACCAAGTTCAACCATCTTGTCTTATGACTTGAAGGCAATTAATTCCATTCCCAGTCGCTTGCCTCATGAATGAAGTTGAGTCATTCCATTCCCAGTCTCTGAGGTAGCAGTGTGAGTTTTTTTAAATGCTTTTCTGCATTCCATGAATGGAATGAATCATGTGGCCATCTCAGCTCACCAAGAGTCAATGAGGCTGTGGCTTACACTAGGACACCAGAAGGAGCAGTGGCAGAGCTACAGCTCAGCTTTGCTTTTTGCCAGCTCTGTGTTGCAAGGCCCCTCTCTGCCATACAACCAAGAAACTGTTTTAAACTGTTTTAAAACAGTAATTTTTAAATTAACCCAACCACTGAACAGATGCAAACAACTCTGCCCCACGTGCCACTCAGAGGGGCAGGAATGTGACAGAGTGCAGCTGGGGAGGAGTGGATGTGACTGAGTCAGAAAAGTTCCTTTGTCTTGTGCTATGTCCTCCTTAGGCCAACAAGAAAATGGACCCCAGGGCAATATTGTAGTGGGTATAATTTGGAGCTCCTTGGGATGGTCCTCAAAGAAGAAATGAGCCCCGAGATGGTCCAAGGAACAACAGCATGATTCAGAACCCCCTTTTACCAAAGTGCTGCTAAAGCTGTAATTTCACAGTTTACAGGATCACTGTCAGGGCCAGGGACCCTTGCTTGTGCCATATTCTGTGAGATATTGTGCATCTTTGAATTGTACTAAAGATGACAAGCTACCTTTTCTTCTTTTTCTCCTCTGTAGATCAAGACAGATATTACAATGCATCTTTCCTAATCACCAATGTCAAGTATAATCCTCAGTATGAAAGGCAAACTACAGAGGAGTTCAGGAACATCAGTGAACATATTGAAACCATGGTAAACTAAAAGCTTCTCTGCTTATACCTGACCTATGCTGAAGAGTTCTGCAAATATGTAATTGAAAATAGAGTCAGAGGTGATTGTGCCTCATCCCTACATGGCTGGCCTTACCTTGCACACCTTGCTGCTGTGGGTTAAAGATGCATAGCTGACTTTGCACATGCAGATGGTAAGCACAGGTGTCTGCTCCACAAGCCCTGTGGTGGAACTGGCAGGCACAGAGCAGAATGGATAGTGTAATCAGCCAACTCAGTGTTTATTTTGGATTTGCATTCCCTGATGGAAATTTAGTGGTAGCTTTGGTGTAGAGGTGGAGATCTGAAGGCATTTTCATGTGTTTCAGAGGCTCGTGAGAAACACATGTTATATTGTAAAAGCATGTGCTCATTGCAGGCGTATTTTAACACACTCTTTTCTTTTAACAGATGTCTCAAGTATTCAGGGGGTCCTTTCTAAGTAAAAGATACATCAGGTCCCACGTGGTCAGTCTAAGGTAAGTCATGTGAAGGCCAGGAATAAGCAGAGATGTGCTAAATAAATTTTCTTCCAACCTGTTGACCATATGGAGCATTCCTGGTTGCTTGGGTTACACCAGTAGGGTGACTTGTCTGGTTGTTGCTGTCCTCTAGTGTTCATAACACTGAGGACTCAGTTACCCTTAGAGGTCAGCAAGGAAGGGAAGTTTGGTTTTATACTTCTGCTTTCCCTAACTGTTCCCAGCAAATTCCCTCTGATCACTGTCATAGCAAGAAGCTTTTGCTCCCTGCTGACATGTCATCATCTTTCTTTACTTGAGCACAGACATACAATTTGTTCTGGGCATCTGTGCAGACCAGACCTGTTCTCATATAAAGAAGGCAGGCAGTACAAAGCAGTACCAGGAGCATTAGTAGGCAAGGAGAACTACACCATTTGTTTTTTGGTTTGTAGCCCAGATCCTGTTGGAGTGCTTGCATCTGTTGTTCTGGTATTTAAATTTCCCTCTGCTGACAGTGAAGCAACGACCCGGGGTCAGGTCAACCGTGTGTTACTCAGAAGGCTGAAAGCAATCTCGACGTTCCTGAATGTTGACCAGTCTACCATTAAACTCACAGGCAAGTGCCTTAGGTTTGTGTTTTCAGCTTAGAATTTGTTACTCACACGTTGCTGTTCTCAACATAATGAGTTTCACCTTAGTATGCAAATATGGGCCATTCTTGTTTTCTTTTTTTGCCTTCTCAAAATTGTCTGTTCGGCTGACAGCATGGGAAGTTGGAAGACAGAACATGGAAAGAACTAAAACCTATTGGCACTGATTTATGAGTGTGAGCTCTTCTCCATGCATCAGAGACTTTCCCTGTGTGACCTGGTTGTGTTGAATGAGATAGTCCTCCTCAATTCATCAAAAAAGGTCTAACTTTGTGACCATGGGTTCACAAACAACTTTAAGACATGCAGTAAATTGAATAAGAACATTTATAACCAGGCACTGACATGCAGAGTCCTTTAGCTATTAAAATTGCAGGGCTGAGGTGGTTCCCTTCTCTATCCTCTGCCATTTCCTTGGTCATTTGACAGATTTCTGTTGCAAGTGTCCGTAACAAGATCCTGAGGGTCACTGGGCAGTCATCCTATCCCATGAATCTGTTGTGGATTGCTGTCTGACTCTGACAGAGTGGTTTTTCTAGGAAAGAAATTAGAAATGTTGCAGTTTACCTTCAAACAATCCCAGCGCTGAGGACTTGTGAAGACCCATCTGACCACCTTGCCACACGAAACATGAACAAAGGCCTGTAGGCATTTGCTGGTGGCTGTGCACATTGTACATAGATGTAACTTGGACCCACTTGCAGTCATCTGCTGCTTTTGTTAGCTCTGACCTAAGGCAAGAAATGTGCATCCTGTGGCCTTTCTGTGAGGAACAGAGGCTTAACTAAATTTCTCCAACACAGCAAATTACTACTTCTTGTACTGCCACTCCAGGCAGGAATGCAAGCCATTTAATTTTTGTATCCTGGGTACAGGGAGAGAGTCTGGGCTGGATCACATAGCATATGAGATAAACTTACTGTGGTCTTTGCTTTTTATTCCAGAACTGAACAAGGAAAAGGGAGATAACCTTTTAAACAACTGTAAGTACAAATACTTTATAGTAAAGGACATAGTGCTGGAGGTTTTGTGCTTACAAAGTCCTTATACTTTCATGATACAAGTTGAAAATATAATTTGTTGCAGATATTAGAACAGTAGGCAGTGCATGAGCCAGGGGAGACTTCAGCTCATTTCCTTGCAGTCTTGCTGGCTCTATGCATTTGTGGAATCAAGCATTCTGGCTTGGTGGTGGGAAGCACTTGTTTTAATGTTGGTTGTTGGAAGTGGGGGCGTATAGTGAGCTGCTATTGGCAAGTTTGCAGAAGAACTACAGTTTTGCTGTGGGCCATAATTCTTGCTGGAATCCTTCAAAAAACATTTTCCCTCCATCCCCCTCCTCCCTGAAGAAAGGTTTGGCAGTAGATGTCTATCAGATTTGACCTAAACTTTAAGGAAAGACCAGAGGGTGGGAGAGGCAGAAGAGCTGTCCACACTCTGAGCACACTCATGGCCTTGGAGAGCGGCAAGTTCTCAGTCCTCCTGTTGTGCTCCCCCTTGAGGTCTTAGAGCTCCTCTGGAAACTGGGAGACAGTGTAAGTACCTCCCCGGGCTCTCCATCAGTCCTCTGCATGCTTTTGAAAACTTTGCATGTAAGCTTTCCCTCTTCAAATTGCCTATGAGAATTAACTGGTTTGAATCTAACTTTTTTCAGCTGGGTAATACCTGATTGTTGGCACAGTGGCTGTAAGTAAATTGTTGGGAAGAGGACACTATTTTTTTGTTGCTGCTGCCAAGGCTAATCTGTAGGTGACCTGAAACACTGCCTTTTTTTCAGTATCTCAGATACACAGCCTTCAGGTCCCATGGGAATTCATATGGGCTTGTGTGTCTGAAAACTGGCTTAATGAAAAAGTACTGACTCCTCTACCAAATGTCTTTGTTTACCCTGCATGTATCTTGAGACACTTGTGACCATGGCACTTGGTTTCCCTGCTTTAGGTGAAGGCTGTCTCTTGATGGAGACTCCTGCCCCATTACACCTGTGCCTGCAGCCATGAGGGCCTTGAATCAGCTAAAGCAGAGCTGCCTTTTCTCTGACAGGCTGTGGAATACGAAGACAGGCATCCTCCTTCACAGGAGTGGAAAGAATAACTGATGGGCAGCGTGCACCGGAGGGAGAATGGCCATGGCAGGGGAGCATTCAGCTCGATGGGAGCCATCGCTGTGGGGCATCAATCATCAGTAACACCTGGCTGGTGACTGCTGCCCACTGCTTTAGAGAGTAAGTCATCAGCACCTCTTTAGGGCTCTTGGGTACTCTGACCTTTTGTGACCCTCTAATATCTGTATCTGCTGAAAGATCATGAAGTTGTACTCTTCCCCTTTGGCAAACCTGGTCACATTGCTTTTTGATGCTTAAATGAAGACCTAAGCTCCCTTAAGTATGTTGTTTTGTGTGGCTGTGGCATAACCTCAAACATCTCACAGAGTAAGAGACCCTCGGAGGTGGACTGCCAGCTTTGGAATTCTGCTGAGACCTCCAAAACAGAAAAAATTAGTCCGCAGAATTATTGTCCACGAGAGATACGGTGGCGTTCTCCTTGATCACGAGTATGACGTGGCTGTTGTGGAACTTGCCTCTCCTATTGAGTTCACAAGTGATGTGCACAGTGTCTGCCTTCCTGAAGCATCTCATGTTTTCCCAGACAACGCTTCCTGTTTTGTCACTGGCTGGGGAGCTTTGGAGAATGATGGTGAGTGTTTCTTGCCTCCCTGTGCCCTGTCACACATGTGCCTGAGAAGACTGATGTTACTTTTATGGGGTTTTTTGTTTATTTTGAATTCCTTAGACTTGGTGTTTAATAGGTGCATGTCCCAGTGAGATACCTTTGGACTTAGTTGGCTGCTTTTTTTTCTGGCTTGGTCAGTGGATCAGAAATGGGGGGAAGACCCTGAAGGTTAGTCTTACAGGATTTAAGAGCAACTTTTCTTAGTTTCTGTAAACACAGCACTGGTTGAATACATTTGGTTCTCCAGTCCCTCTGGGTTTAGCTCTGACATCTGTTCTTTCGCTATTCAGATTTTTTGCAGAGGCACCATGACAATTTTCATCAGTTTTTCTCTCTTTGGTCGTAAGTGAGGCCTCATCAAGTGATTTGAGTAAGCTTCTTTCAAATTAGTCTATGTCATTGAGGTTAGAGAGGATGGGACTAAAAATCTGCTTGTGAGAGTCACTGACCTGTAAAGGTTGTGTTTCATGGGAGACTCTTGGGATGTGTAGTGATTGCCCAAAGCTATGCTGCAGTTAACTTAATAGGTCTTTTCTATGATAGCAAGGACATACCATGTAGCCTATAGTTGAATGCAGCACTGAAATATGTACAAAATTCCATTTGTCCATTATGCTAAAGAGCATCTGGTGATGATTGAAGATGGATAGGAGTTATGTTTGGGAACAAGTGAAGGACTTCGGCAGTAGAGGGCATTAACTTTCTTAATCCTGAGACATTTTCTGTGTAGCTCCCTTAATTGCCTGTGATGGCAGAAAAGTGGCAGGAAAAATTTGCTACTCCTAATAATTGAGTTTTTTATGTTACTTACCTTGTCTGCAAATGCTAATGCCACTTCTCCTTCTAGGCTACAGTGTTAATCAGCTTCGACAAGCAGAAGTGAGAATTATAAGTACTGCAGTTTGTAATAGGAGAGAAGTGTACGGCGGAGCGATAACAGCTGGAATGTTGTGTGCTGGATACTTGGAAGGGCAGGTGGATGCTTGCCAGGTAAGTCTCTTTATTGGTAGTAGTAAAAAGGAAATAGGTGGGTTGGAAGGTGATGTTTCTAGAAATAAAATGTACTTTGGGCAATCTTAAGTTTATGAGTTTCAATATCTTGATAGATACAAATTAAGAGCTTCAAGGCTCATGTACTTCAGTTTGCATGAGTTTTTTGGAGTCTGCACTTCAGTTTGCATGAAGTTTATACACAATGCACAAGTGAGAGAATGCAGATGTGAGGATGTGAATTAGACATAGGCTGTGAGCCTCTGTCTTGTCAGTAAACTGTGTGAAACTTGAATTATAGCTGAGGTCTACAGAAAAATACCTGCCAATTGTAACAGAAGAATTTGAGAATTTGAGTTCATGGCTATTTACTTTTTTCTGTCTGTTGACATTTTTCTCCTTAGGGCGACTCTGGTGGGCCACTGGTGCATGCAAATTCCAGAGGAATCTGGTATCTTGTGGGAATAGTGAGCTGGGGAGATGAATGTGGCAAGCCAAATAAACCAGGAGTATACACACGAGTGACTTACTATCGAAACTGGATCCAGTCCAAAACGGGCATCTGAAACCTGGAGCAGGTTAAGTTCTGTGGGCTGTGTACAGCTATTCCTCTGACACATCCTGCTCTGCGGTCGCCCTCTAAGCAGCTGCTGGCTTAGCTTGTGGTGGTGTATAAAGTACTTGTAAGCTTGGAGCAGTCTGGGACTTGAAATTGATTTGGCCTACAGCCAGACAGGAATGGACTTGATCCATGTGACATTTGTTTGTTCAGGAAGTAGTCTGTCAGAGGGACAACTGCCTTCATCTGTATGCCAGATATTGACCCTTTTTCTACATGGCCACATGTCTTGGCCCCAGCTTTTATACCCAAGCAAAGTGTTTGAGCCCAAACAATCATCTACCAGCATCCAAGACAAGCTATAACTGAAACCTGGCCCATCCATTTGCTGTGTGCTCACAAGGCCCTGACTATCCATAGAAAAGCTACAATCCAGGCCCTGACTCCAAGGCTGCTGTACTTCTGAATTCTCGAGCTTTCTCCTGCTTCCAGGAACTGAAATATAATGAAGAATGGAAGATGGCTTAGAGAAGTCTTGGCTCCTAATATCACACTGGACTGTTAATTAAGTGAATAGAAAATTTTTCCTTGCCTGAGAAAGAAATTAGTGGAAAACACCAGCTTGTGTCCACCTTCTTTGAACAAGTGAACATATGCCTGTTCATAGTTTCATATAAACAGTCTCTGCCACAGCATTTGCCAGGGGAGTAATTGCTGGACTTAAGACCAAAAACCACCTTATGTTCATACCAGTTTGTTGTCATAGCACAATATTTGGCTGAATTAATTTCCAGTTTTATCTTTCCAGACTGTATTTTTCTGAATAAAAGTCCTTTGCCTTTTGTGCAGGATGGATGGTTGAAACAATCTTAGTATGACCTTCGTCCAAAAAAAAACTTCTCAATCTTCTCATTCTTATGAATGCTGTTCTCAAGTCTTTATAGTTTTATATGTGCATTTTTAGCTATATCCTATAAAAAAAATAAAAAGCTTTTGCATTACAATGGAAATATCCCTGTCCTTCAGAGCAGGACAGAACTTCTGACAGACCTAGAAATCTTATGTACAGAGCTCTGTCTTCTCAAAGGAACTAAGAATTGCCTGTGTTGCATTGCCAGACTGTAGCTGACTCATTTGGTCTCAGCCACACAAACCTCATATTCTCTCTGGCTTCATGTTTTCAGGAGCCCATGTTTCTGTGAGCCTGGGCAGAAACATATCTACCTTCTGTCAGGTAGACATCCAGTGCTTTCTACAACCCAGCAGCAGAACACATGTATTCTTGGTGGGGGTGCTCTCCTTGGTGTGTCTGCAAGCTTTCCAACTTCATGTGGATCCTGATCCTAACAACAGCAAGTGCTGTGGACTTAGTTGCTGGATAATGAGCCACTGAACTGCTCTTTTCTCCCTCTGTGGTCAGAAGGGAAAGGACTCGGGAGAGGAGATAGTGGCCACACTGCCAAGATTCAGAGCAGGTCCAGCATGCCAAGCAAGCAAGAACCTTCTGCCAGGCTAGAAAAGGCAAACAGCAGGCTTTCAGTATGCTCTTAGTTAGAAGGGCCAGGGAAAACAGGCCCTCAGTGGTTATAGTCTTGTGATCAGAGTGTCATTCCAGTTGAGCACAGTCAGCTGGCACAGTCAATGGCAGCTCAGGGATCCCCTCTGGAGTGTGCAGCTTGCTGTCAGTGCTGTCCAAATAGAGCAGTGATCCCTCCAGAGCAGTGATAACAGAAGTATTTTTATTACATGTCCTGTGATCTGTTTTTCAGTCCAGAGAACAGTTTTTCTAGAGCTTCACTGGAGGTACTAGAATAGTTGGAAGCCCACAGAAGATCTGTACCTGTTGTGTGTTCTACACTTGTGTATACCTGGCTCTTGATTTTTTTTTCCCTCCAGGAACTTTTCTTGTGGAATGTTGTGAGCTTCAGAAACAAACTTGGTGGTTTAATTTAATTTAATTAATTTAATTAATATAGGGAATAAACACAGTCAGACTGGTTCCATAGGTCTAAGCCCAACAAATTTCATTTCAGCCTCTTCAGCTGAACTTGTCTTTGACATATTGCTTGTTAGAGGAAGCTTAAAAATATGACAAATATATATGAAGTTTTTTTCTTGGTTGTAGCATTTGTCTTGCCAGAATGGTGAATGAAATTTTATACTTGTCTTCATAAATATAATTACAAAATACTATGGATTTTCAGTTTTAAAAGCGCTTTAGGCTTGGATTTTCAAAGGACATAATGGTTTCTCCATCTGCTGGATTTCATTGTAACTTGCACACTTCACATTTTTAGGATTGCAAATACCAACTTTATCACAGATTCCCCAAAATAGATAAGTAGATTTCAAAAAAAATTCATTTTGCATCTGTGAACTTCCCAGTTTTCTTCTTTTGGGTACTATATCAGAAAGCCTTAAGCATTTAGCTCAGTCTCAAGGGCTGGAGTAAATCTCATTCTCCAAAGTGGTGCAAATAAAACTTAAACACTCAACTTGTGATTTGCTTAAGGAACTGCCATTTTTGAAGGTCTACTTGTAGAGATACAGAACCTAATCTCCCTTATTGCTGAGTGCCAACACAGTGCAGCCAGGAGGAGTGGGGATGAAGAGAATCTGGCATCTATTGGTATATGTTTTGGAAGCTTTTAGTTTGGATTACCTTGTGGAGATTCTCCTTACAGCATCTGGAAACTTTGGTTCCAGTTTCTTCTGGAAGCAATGTAGTTCACATTCTCTGAGGCCTCTCGGTGATGCAAAGCAGTACAAATGGTGAAAGTCAAGAAGAGCATTTGAAAGAACAGACTTCATCCAAGGGAATATTGATGTGGTTGGACATGATAGGCCTGAATCCCTTACTTGTGGCAAAACTGCACTGATGTCAACCTTGCCTGGCTTTTCATGGGGGAAATTAAGGAAACTGAAGCCAAAACTTTTTATTTGGTTTAGATGATTAGCAGACTTGCATTTCTTTGAAGCTGCATCTAACTATACAATCATGCATGACACACAGGAATGTAATTTATATGTAAATTTAATAAAATCTGTTACATTTGCCTTCTGTTTCATGTACTTACTAATTTCCTGCATCACAGCAACTCTAAGTTGGAGATTCTTCTGTTTTAGGATGTTAGGCTGATTCTATACCATGGATTTATGTGCTGGCTTTTATGTTCTCTTAATCATCTAGCTTTTTTGATTGTTAGAAGCTGTTAGATGAGCAAAATGCCATCCGGACTAGGACAGAATTTACCCACCTGGCCAGTGGTTACCCAAATTTATGTGCAGGTAAACAGGTCCTGTGTCATCCACTAGAGGGTGAATCGTATTGTACAAGAGCCTTAGGACTGTGGCACCTGGTGGTGCTCTGCTTCAGTTCACTAGAGAGGAGCTGGAGGACAAGACACTGTGTTCCTGCTGCCTTGAAGATGAAGAGATGCTACACAGTTTGTTTGCAAAATCTGAGGAGGCTACAGCTGCTTAAAGCTGGAAGCTTTAAGCACAGGTATCTGCAGCACTGTGTGAGTTTCAGGCTTCTTCCATCAGAAACCTTGGTCTCCCTCTCTCCCTTGTAAGTGTGTTAAATAGAGTAGACTGTGGCTGTGAGAGCAAGGGCTGAGCAGGTTTTGTCTGCTTATCTGCAGCAACAAAGCCAGAGCTTTGTCCTGTGGAAGAGCAGACTGGGAAGGCACATGACCAGGTATTTTTGGCATTGTGGGTCAGTTTTCCGAGCTTGTCAACCTTCTTGCAAGCAAGATAGCAGAGCAGCAGTAATTTTGAGAGCTTGGTAGGATAAAGATAGTGAGGTTTGCAGTGGCATGTTTTGGTCTCCCATATTGACAGTTCTTGAGGATTCTTGTAAATTGAAGACACTGATCAGATTTCTTCTTGTCCGTTTCTTGTCACAATGGGAAACTTAGTACAAATTGTACTGTGTTCTGAGCTGGAAGGGAGCTACATGCTGGAGTTCATCAATCCTGGTCTATAATACCTAACAGCCAGCAGGATGAACTTGGAATTTGAGGTTATTTAAGAGTATAAAAAGGAGTTTCAAAGCAACAGCTTTATTGCAGTATTATAGGACATGCCATGTTGGCAATAGATGGGAAGGTGGCCATTTGTTTGAAAGAAGAGTAGCCCTTTTGTCACATTCTACTCGGTCCAGTGCAAGAAAGGGAGTGTTAGAGACAGATTTCTTAAAGGACATAATTTTAACAAACATTTTTATGGCTTAGAAAACAGGTCTGTGCTTATTTTCTGACAGAGCCTGTGTTGTGTATGTAACATTTATGAGCATTGACTGTGCCATGACCCAAAGATATGCTCAGCTGGTGTGGTTGTACTTGGCTATGTGGGTGGAGTTTCTGTCATAGGGTTTGAAGTGAAGAACTAAAGAGAAGAGTAATTCTTATGATCTTTTGTATGCATGGCTAAACAGCATCCTTCTATAGAACAAAGCTGTCAGTATTTCAGCTTGCTGAGTGTCTGATCTATTACTGCTGCAAAGAAAACTTTTCAAAATTCAAGTGGTTACAAGACTTCAGAAACAAATAGAACAAATGGCAGCTAATCTGCTTTATCTTTAATTTTATATCTAATGGAACCCTTTCTTAAATCACACTTCCTTTGAAGAACATTTTGTTTGCCATTCATTGTTTGTGGCTTTTTCTCAGGTGCAAAAAAAATTGTTTCAATTAAGAAAGAGAAAAAGATTTGAGGAACTTGTCACCCAAAAAATGCAACTCTTTCTTTTATATAAGCATGCATAGGTCTGAGAAATACATGGCCTATCTCCAATTTACTTGATTAGCTAATGAACTCCTTCCTCCCTGCAGTAAACCAGAGTTGTGCTTGCTATGTGATGTTTCTCCTTTCTGTGCCTGTGCTTTCCACCTTCCAGTTGTGCCACCTGGCTGTCCCTTACTTGAGGAAGAACTTGCCACCAGCCTGGCATCCAGAGCCTGTTTCAACCACAGATTGTTATTTGCAAATCAATACAAACAAACAGCAATTGTCACATATCTCTGACCTTCACCAGGCTCTTGGGATCACCTGCAGCCTTTGGAGCTGTGACTCAGACAGTCTGGCACTGCTCTCCAGGCCAGCAGATGACCTGCATACCAAAGGGGGCTGCTGATAGCAACATTCCTTCTCCAGCGGACAGACCAGATGGAGGGACTATGCTAGCAAGTGATGTCTCCTATACTAGAGCATGACGAAAACGGAAGAAAAACTTATTTACTGTGAGAGTATTTGAACTTTGAACCAGGAGAAGTCATGGAGTCTCCATCCTTGGAGATACTCAAAACACAATTGGACATGATCCTCAGCACCGTCGTCCAGCTATGCTTGTTTTGAGTAGAGATTTTGGGCTAAATGATCTCCAGAGATCCCTTTCTGCCTCAGCTGCTCTGTGATTCTGTTCTCTCCAAGGGCCTTAGCAGCTTCAGGGAAAGGCACATGGCCGTGGCTAAGGGGTGAGCTGACTGTTCCCCTCAGCTGTGTCTGTGACAGCCAGGTGCTCTGGTAGCCAGCCTGACACCAGGTCCTTTTCATGCTTGACCCTTAGATGCCATAGCAGTGCTGTGGTCCCAAACTTGCCCGGCACTGTTGCCTTTGAATAACAAATGGGAACAGCAGGGCATGGAAGGGAAAACAATCCATTCTGTGCCATCTAAGTAGGAAGCAAGTTACCTGAGAAAGAGCTCAGACAGAAGGTCTTACCGGGAGGCAGCAAACCAAGTGGGACCTTCATTTGGTACTCTGCATGTTTGTATCAGAGGGGCTGATCTCCTGAGCTGTGGCTGAAAGTACAGCTAGAGTCAAAACAGCTGCAGCATGGAGGTCTCTGACATTATTTTCATTATGTCAAATTTAGTCTACGAAGCCTTGAAGGCTAATGCAGTGTATGATAAGTGGGTGCCCACTGACAAGAACGCCATGTAGGATCTTGCATGCTGCTGCAGAGTAAACTGAAACAGGCAGAAAGCATCTCAGACTCTCTTTGACTTCTACCAGGCAACTTAGCTGCTGACAAATAATATGAGATCAAATTCAAGCTACGTATTTTCTGGGGATGTAGAGATGTAGGAAAAGCCTTGTTTTGTGTGTACTGACATTTGCAGAGCTCTAAGTGCTCCTGGTAAGTCCCTCTAGCACTTCAGATGTGTGAAACAATGCTGCTCTTCCTTTCTTCAATTGGAGCTGTGCCTATAAAAGATTTATTTGTATTTCAAAGTGCTCTGTTTCTTTCTAGGCCTAGTAAGTCATGTGAAGACCTCCTGTCTCCTTGGAGATGCCGTGTGCCTTAACAGGGAGTGAAGGATTCATGCCCTGGATGTAGAGAGATGCTTGTTGGCCTGACAGAAGAAAATGCAGGCTGCTCTGTTTCACTGCAGCAAGCAGCAGCTCTATCTGAGCAGCTGCAGAGGGCAGGCACACTGTGCCACCTTTTTGCCTCAAAAAGGATGATGAGCTTTGAATTTGTTTTCAATGACTCTGGCACTGGGGGACTTCTGTTGTTGAAGGGCGTTGCTGGTATTCTGGGCTGGCCTCCCTGGCTGCAACTCAGACGGGTGTAGCAGTTTCTGTTACAAGGGCCTGGAAAGAGGGACTGTTTGGAAAGCAGCCAGGGCAGGATCTAGCATACTTCAGAGCTTGAGGCCATTGCTGCAGCATCCCAGAGTCTCCACGTGTTCGGTATCTCACAGCCGCATGGACATGTAATAAAATCTTGCCCCAAGTGACTTTTCAAGGCTCAAGATAAAGGCCCTGGCTTCTATCTTAGCCCTCACATTGGCTCTGGAGAATAAGTCCATTTTTAAATGAATTTTCTGCTTTTGTTTTTCTGCTTATCAGTTATCAACTGCATCAGTTATTAAAAGCCATGGCTGCAATTTCATGTAGCATAGGAAAGCATAGGATAATAAACTGGTGACCTTTTTTCGTCAAAAGAGGAAAGCTGTGCAGCATGTCCACAGCTGAAATGAAAAAGTATTATAAAATGCAGATCATTTAGAGCTTCTGCTGATTTTTGGAGGCCAAATGCAAGATATTTTTGTGTTTGTCAGGAGGAGGAGGCCTGAAGCCATAACTGAGCTGTCCAGGTGTGCTGATGGAAAAAGGAGTGAGCTTGTCCAAGGGAAGGGTTTCCTTGCAGTGTACCAGTTTGGTCTTGTCAGATGCTCACAGAGAATGACAGAGTAATTTAGACTAGGAGGGATGTACAGAGGTCATCTTTTCAAACCCCCTGTTCAGAGCATCTCCAATTAATTCAGGTTGTTTAACATTCAGGCTGTTCAACAGAGCTTCTGTCAGTTCTGTTAAACATCACTGACAGGAGCACTCACTTCTCAGTTTAAAAGTAACGATTGATTGCTGTCTTTGGCCTGAAATTCACGGCCTGGCTTGACGAACTGGTAGACAGTTATGCAAAACATCTTTGCCAGTAAATTCCAGAGATGTTTTTGCTACAGGACTGGCCAGTGGTCTTCTCTAAAGGTGTTCTTTGTCTCTGGAGCCCGTGAGGCTGTGTGAGTGTGCAAACACAAACCCGGGCAGTCTGTCATTACCCTACTTAGGCAAGCAGTCTGTCTGACCGGCTGGGCTGACTTTGCAGGGTTAAACAGAGAGAATGGTCATTACATCTTTTTACACTTTCATTCACAAAATCCTGTGCACCCACATTCTTGGATTTCCACCCCACGCCTTGATAGCTAGTTTCCGTACTGCTTCCCTAGTATTAACCAAAAAAAGGTTACTAATTGCCTGGCTTACTGAATGACACCCTAATACCAAGCACTTTACAACTTGATAATTTATTGTGAGTAAAATTATTTGTTAATTATTGTCTTTTCTTGGTCTGTCTGTACCATTGTTCCTGGGGCACAGGTATGTGTAAATTGATTTTGCATCATCTGAAAGAAGCAAGTGTATTTCCTTATTTCACACTATTTTGCAGGACAGCTCATTTTAGTGTGTAATTAATTTGCAAACAAAGGCAACCTACTTAAAGTTTTATTAGGCAGGTTGCAAAATATTCTTGATTGTAAGAAAATGAAATATTTTTTTAGGAATATCTTTGTTATTCATACTGTGGAGTAACAATAGGAGTAGTCTGTCCTAGTGTGATCTGAAAGCTACCAGAAATTAATTCATCTGTTGTCCAATTCCTTTTCTCTGGCCCTTCTTCCTGAGAACATTTGCAATTCTAATGAATGGTTTTCATCTTTGTTTCAGGGCTCAAGATTTCAGGTAAGTGATGTCTCAAAATCTAGCTGTTTGCTAAAACCTATTTCTCCTGTAATACATTTTTACCTGATCAGGTGGTCAGTTTGCCACTGAACTTCTGCACACATCAGGGAGAATTTTCTGCATCTCACAGGGTAAGCACTTCAAGTGCCACCTTTTCCCAGCATAGAAAAGAAAAAAAGAAAATACAAAAACAAACAAATGGGGGAAAAAAGGAGGAAAAAGACCCCAACAAGGAATTCTAAGGTATTTTCTTGACTCACGTATTGAAGGAGGAGTCAATCAATCTCCATCACTCCATCAAGTACTTGATTTCCTGTGGGGATGTGTGTGTTTCTGGGTGGAGCAGGGAGTCCTTTGTGTACAATCTTTTCTGAGTTTTACTGATTTTGAAAAAGAAAATAGCAGGATGGGTGGTGGGGAATGGAAAGTACAACCCAGGGATAATAATAGTGCTTGACAGGTACCTGTGTCCTCAGTCAGTAAAGTCTCAGGTAAGGCAGGCAACTGCAACAATGCCCTTTCCACAGGGAGCTCAGAAAAGCCAAAAAACCCAATTTATTTGATCAAAGCAAATGAAGAAATCAGTGTTGCAGAAACAGCAGATGTGTTCAGCTCTTCCCACTGTCCTCAAAAGGGCCTGCCCAGATGCTCCTACAATTGCATTGAAATGACTGTGAATGGATAACTTTGGGGAAAGATGGAAAACGACTTGGTATGTTTTGGTAAGATTTTAATCAAATTTTCCTCTTGTCTTTTTTCTTTCTTCCTCTCCCTTTATGCTGAGGCTGTTTCTGGAACAGAGTGAATGTTCCAACAAAAATAACTGAAATCTTGAGACTTCATGGGAAAACCAAATGCTTCACGCTTTTTGGCACGTGCAATGCAAGTGCATCAAACAGCAGAAAACAGATTTGCTTTCTTGTAATTTTACTTTTTGGTTTGTGATTTTCGACTTTTGATGTAAATGCACATTTTCTCACTAGTGAATCTCCATTTTTTCCCCTTTCCAGATGGCTCTGAAGAATCACGTTTGTGCTGGGAGAAGGGAATTCCAAGGAGATTGGTGGCCCGTTTCACAGAGTAAGCATTTTCCACAGGCGGGGTTATGCCAACCATTAAATGACTAACATGTAATTAGGAGGCTGGATACTTATAGTTGTCTTGTCCCTGATGCCAAGGGAGTCCAGGACAGCTGTGGATGAGTGAGCACCGAGGTAGATGAGGCTTGGCTGACCAAGCTATTTATGTCCATATTTGTTTTTGTGTGGCTCTCTCAGAAGTGACCTAGCGTTGCGGACAGCGCGGTGCCTCTCCGCTGTGGGTTTTACAGTGAGCACGTGGTAGAAGGTGCAGCCACTCAGGGCAAGGCCTGCAGTAGGGATACAAGCTGGACAGAAAGGGAGTGCTGGAAAAGGGAAATCTCAGGCACTTCCTGTTTCGCTGTGGCGAAGAACAAGTCTTCTTGCTTGGGCCGGTTTATCTGCTCACTCCATCTCTGCCTGGGGAGCTCTTTGATGCGGAGCTGATCGGAAGGTTGCAGTCTCCTTATCAACTCCATGCTTACCTCTGTTTGTTTTTATTCTGAAGTTCGTTCCCTCATTTTGCAATAACCCACAGGGTGCTGGGTGTTGCGCCAACCGTGCCTCAATGAAGGATCTTCATTCAACAGCTTTCCCTTCCCGTCACACCAGTCAATGCGACTCCTGCGTTTTTCAGCACCATTCTCTGCGCAGCCCAGACTTTAGCCAAGCCTTCATTGGAGGCCAGAAAGGCTACCAGGCCTACCGGGACCTACCATGGGATCTTCAGAAGTAGGTGGCATGCTTGAACCTGGCAAGTTTAACTTGGAGGTGTAATGGTGGTAAAGGGTACTGTCTATGGGAAAGCTTTAGGGCATCAAGGACATAGATCCAGGGGAGAAATCTGGTTTTTCTGACCTTTTCTTCTCAATGCTCTATCTATGCCTCTTTCATCATTTTAGACCTGGGGTACATCCTGGATCTGTTTGAAATGTGCATTCTGAAAAGAGATGATAAACAGAGGGAAAGCTGAAGAGGAAATTGCAGGATGAAAGGGTGGTTTTGGAGGTTGTGGTCTGGATGAAAAGAGTAACGTGGCTGGAGTGAGAAATGCAGAAGGAAATCCTTCTCTAGCATGGTCAGGAGTACAATGATTTGCTGTCTGTTTAGAAGGATGATGTCAGGTTGACACTTATCTTTTCTTCCTTCTGATCATCTTAATCTGCCTACAGCAGAGTAGGGGAGAAACCAAGAAGCTCTTTTGTCAAAATCAAGTGCTAGTAACATGATTTTTGAAAAACATGGGGTTTGGTCAGGTGTACTTGCAATATTATTTCCCCCAAATCCTGCAAAAAATCCTGGTTAAATAAGTAATGGCAGCACAACTACATAAGGGGAACACTATCGGTGTTCATCATTCTGGTTTTAACCCTTTTATTTTAACGAAGAAACCATGATTTTCAGGAGGAATGATTAGGTGGTTTGCATCAGAAGATATTTCAGGCAGTCAGAAATTCTGGATATCCTTAGTTTTGTTTTACCATAACAATACTTCAGAAAGCACTGGAAAGTTCAGAGTATTTTTACAAAAATAAGTCTTCCAGGTGCAACACTCTGCTATTGTCTCTTGGGTCAGAACAGAGATTGGGTTCTAGATGTACAGTAAATATCTTGGAATTTGTAATTTCTGTTTAACTCACTGGATTCTGGATTCCTATGGCAATAGGGGAATGCTCAGTCTCCCAGGAATGTGGGGTTTTTTTTGTTGTCCTAGCAGTTGATGAAGCTGAAAAGTATGACTTCAGGGACAAAATTCAAAATAAATTGAATTATTTTTTAGCATACTAATGATCTGGCAGGATGGTTGAATTTTCGTGTGTGATTGTTAAAGACTACAATATTAATCTCTCTGTGTTGCTTTGGGCAAATGGCTGTGGATGATTGCAAGATACTACTTATTTTTTCCATCGTCAGTATTTTTAAAAGTTGGGCTTTTAAAATAATTTCAGGGCATGCTGAAATAGGAACATTGTTTCTGGATGGACAAAACTTATTCTTTGTGCCCACTGAAGTGTTGTTCTCATTTTGTGGAAACAATATAATTTTAGTCAATAGTCTAAAATTTGCCAGGAGAGGATGAAGTTCATCTTTGGGCTCTGTGCTGCTTAGTAGTATACCTGCTCAATACCCAAAGATTTTATGCTCCATTTAATATCCATAACTTAAAATATATGCTACTCTATCTGTCAGGAAAAGAAGAAATCCCCATCAGTTGTGATTATCAGTTTGTGTTTATTACATAAGCAGGGAAAACTAAAAGAGAGTTCTCTACCTAACAGAATTGAAAAGCCTTTTTTTTTTTCTAGTTAGATGTAATTCTCCTTGCCATGCCCTTGTGATATCAGCAATGGTGTAAATAATTTTAATGACAGTGTGCTAGAGGGTAGTTAAATAACCTCTGAGTACAGTTCAGTTGCTTCCTATTTAGGAAAGGATTTAATTGTTTCAATGGTTGTTTAAATTATTATAAAATCTAAAGTACATTGGGGGAAATCTGTGTTGGATATTTACATTTGGGAAAGGAGGGAAACTGCCTAGTCTTAATCAAAGCCCCTGTGTGACCAGAATTCTTTGCTGGGCAGGGATGTGGCTCTGAGTGTGGAGCTGTAAGCTTTGCTGTTTGAGCTCATCCCCCTCTGCCTTAGTCCCTTGTAAGAGTGGGGGTTCACAATTAGCTTTATCCAGTTCCCAGATGTCTCTTTTCAAAGCATTTCAAGCTAAGTTGGAACATGTGCTCTGTAAAATCCTTCAGGAAGCAAAGCTGCTGTGGAAACCTGGGTGGAGTAGACGGCCTTGCTGGTCTTGTCCTGCTGTTGTGCTGTGTCCTGCACTCTGGGAAGCAGGCGCAGTGTCCTCTCTGCAGCTTCCTTGTGAAGCTCTCGTGCCCTGGAAGGGTGAGGTGCAGACCTCACTGGTGCTGCATATGGCAGTCCAAAAGTGAATATGCAGGTGGAAATGCAGTGCCACTTGCACCAATTTGTCATGCAGTAGGTGGGCAAAATGAATGCAAATTACAGGCTGCTGAGGTGTAGCAGGAAATGGATGCCAGGCCTGGTGCAAGGACACTCATGTGCCACTGGCATTAGTGGGAGTTTACCTTGATTATTGCAGGAGGCAGATGTGGTTCCTGCATGGTGCCAAAGAGAAACCTATCCTGCCCAGATTGTCCCAGAGCAGATCCTGAATTCAGGAAACTCTAGTGAAATATTTTTGCTTCTGGAACTCACCACACAGCTGATTTGACTCATATTGGAACCATTGATGTTTCCTTGCTGATTTCCCTCAGTTTCTGGCCAATTTAGACAGGAAAACTAGGATGAGACAAGACCTCATCCTGAGCCTTAAAATCTTGTCATCTTCATCCCTGAGCAAGCCCCAGGGTAATCCCAGCAGCTTTTCTGGCCTCTGCTGTTCCTTTTAGAGGGTGTTTCAGAAGTATTTCCCTTTATTGTTTTTTCTCCATGCAGTTTTATAATTGGGCATTTTGGGTCAGCATAAGCTTTGCAAGTCAAGGCATTCTGCTTCTACCACATACTCCTTCCATGTTTGTGTTTTTTTACTAAATGCAGATCCTCCTTTTGAATGAAGCAAAGCTAACACAAAGCTTGGGATGGCTTAATTTGACATGCTTCTGATACTAGACAATCTGAAAGCTTCATGTAGTCTGTGGACAGATTTGGTGATAACAGGGAGACAGATTTTATGCAGAATTGAACACGGAAATTATCCAATTTCTCTGTCACTGGAGAGTTTCCTGGGGTTTCAATATCAGCTGAACCACCTGTCTAGGGACATTTCTCTAATTTCAGCAGCATTTTTCCCATGAAGAAATTTGTCCATCTCTGTTCAGTGAAAATACATTGCTGGATTACAGCATTTCACTGTTTACCTACCCAGCCTAACAACTGTTTATTATATATTGTGGTTTAACCTCACACAGCAGCGAAGTGCCACTCACACCCCATACACACCACCCCTCATCCCAGTGGGATGGGGAGGATATTTAGGGGAAAAAAAGGTAAAAACCAATAGGTTGAGATAAGAGCAGTCTATTAATTGAAATTATTATTATTAATAATCGAGAGGGAACAAAAAAAAATCCCAAGAATGACAACTGACGTACAATGCAACTGCTCACCCACTGACCAATGCCCAGCCCATGTCCCCTTCCAGCCAACCTTCCCCCCATTTATATACTGGGCATGATGCTCTGTGGTATGGAATATCCCTGTGGCCAGTTAATGTCAGCTGTCCTGGACATGCTCCATCTCAGCTCCTTTCCCATCTGCTCACTGCCAGAGTGTGGGAAACTGGAAAGTCCTCGACTGACAGTGAGCACTGCTGAGCCACAACCAAATCATCACTGTGTTACCCACAGTATTCTCACACTAAGCCTAAAACATGGCTCTGTACCAGCTACTAAGAAGAAAATTAGCTGTATCCCAGTCAAAACCAGGACATAAAGTATAAAGCACAGAAATAGGTATTATTATCCAGAAATATGAGCATTTAAACTACAGAGGAAGGTGGAGGCTTTGGGTCAGATTCTGAGTCCACATAAGCTGTCACAGGTGCACACCAGCAGAAGAGCTGTATCAGAGTTGCAGAGCTCCTTGGGAGTGATGTTATGTACCAGTAAAGAGATTATTTCAGTAAACAAATTGAAGCACATCACTGCCCTACTATTTGTGTATTTGTTTTATTACATTGCATTGTAATGTAATATTAAAACTACTGCTATAGTGATTTTTATCTTTTTTTTTTTCCTCAAAGCACCTTAAGAAATAGGTACTATATGTGTCCTAAAACTGTGGTGAAGTTTTGTCAATCTAAGCATGCCTCTCTTATAGGAAGGACGAAAAGCAGAGGACATGTAATAGCCCACAGGAGATCATCTGCAGGTGACTGTTTTGGGTTTGGCTTTTCATCAGCCTGTCCTGTCAGCACCTTTCCTGAGCAGCCACTGCCAGTGGGTGGGTGCCAAAGCAGAGCCTGTGCTCTCTTTCCTGGTGCATGCTGACTTGGCTGGACACTGCCTCTGGCACAGAGCTCACTGCAGGTAATGGAGAACCTCCACTGGTGTCCTAGAGTGCTTCCAGCCCTGGTGAGGAAAATCTTGGAGGCTTTTCCTCTGAAGCAGGCAGTTTGACTCCTAGATGGCAGTTTTAATTCTGCTTCTTTGCAAGAAGTGAAGCTGAATTTCAGTAGGCAAAATATACTAATTTCTTCTATAAACTAAGAGTTTCAGGCTGCAGTGAGGCAAGTGCATTTATGATTTATTTAATGCAATGTTTATCATTTATTAACTAAACATCCTTAAAAACCCAAGTTTGGATATTAGGCAATATTTTAAATTTTCCTTTGAGACTGACATTTTTCTTTTGATACATTTCTGTTACTAAAAGTCAGACATAATTAACTGTGTTTTTCTTATGCCTTCTACAATGCAAACAGGAGGGATCCCTCTGGCTTTGCATTCATTGGTGTGAGCTCCTTGTTGAGGAAAAGGTTCCTGAAAGGCTTCTTTTTGTATGATGTGAAGGAACCCAAGTATGGAATGCAGGGCTCCAAATCACATACCACTGTTCAGGGGAGGTTTCAGTGGGTATTTCTGGGAAAATGTCAGCTGAATTTCAGTTGAAAAAGCTGCGACAATATTGGGAATTACTAGGAAACCAAGAGAGGAGAAAGAAGTAAAATCATTATGTCAGTGTAGACAATTCTATGGCAATTTTTTTTGTTTCTCTTTGCCAGCAAGTATTTCAATCCTCTTCCTCATTGGAAAAATCTTAATCTGCGACATAGCAGTCTTCTGTCAAGAGATGAAATCCAGTCCTTGTTTGCAGTGCATTTAAGATTACTGCACAGACATGGTTTCCTGGGAAAGAGCAGAGTTCCTGGGGAAGAGGGACAGGCCACTTAAGCTGCAGGCAGAAGGGACCTTGTCAGAAAGCCCTCTGAGGTCAGTGGGGAGCTTTCATCTTCAGGTATTTGGTTCAGGCATGAAAGTTCCACTTCTGCTCTGGAGGACTTCAGTGACTTTCCCAGCTGGAGTGTTTTTAGTCTTAGTGTGCATTTCATTCAGTTTCTGTTCCCTTGCTTTGAGCACATAGCTCCCATGGAGTAAGCAAAGACTGCTTGCCTCTTTGTCTGAGAAAAATAAATTCCCCGTGTTGAACTTTTATCAGCTCTCTCCAGAGTGTTCAAGCCCTGACAGGTCATCACATGGATCTCAGTTGTTTCAGTTCTGGCACAATAACTGTTCTGGCAAATAACAAATATTTCTCTTGTGTGTACTGAATACCTGTAAATGCTGTTCAAGTTTACACAGTGGGACATGTCAGATAAAATAATTAATTTCTGAGGAATGAACCTTAGAAAGTGCAGCAAAGCAGTAAAAACATTCAAAGTTAATGAGAATAAAAAATTATCAGTTCAATAATCTTTGTGGGTTTGTCTCACAGATATCTTTGAAAAACTGGATTAGAAATCCTCTTGGTCTGCAGCATGTTTGTGCAGATGATACAGCCTAACCAAGGATGTTTTGCTCAAAAATACCTTTTGTTTTTAAAACAAATTTTCATTTTTAAAAGAAATAAGAAGTGGAGGATAAAATTTAACAGATGTTTCTTGTTTATATATAAAAGGAAGGGGGAAAGTTTAAGATAAAAATCAAGAAAAAAGATATCCAAATCCCAAACAGCACCTCCTCCCCCCGTTAAGTGACTTTCTAAGATTAATTTGTCAAACAGCTTCTTGTTTGAGGAAATTCAGTTTAGAAGCTGGCACTGAAACCCCTCTGCACGTCTTTGAAATGATGTTCTTAAACAGGTTTCATGAATTAGGTGAAAGTCATATGTGTGAGTAGCATTACACGTGTGAGTAACTGTTGTGGACTGGGGCTTCTGTTAATAACAACATGGAACTTGAAATACAAGAAATAAAGAATAAGAGTTACAAAAAGTTTTACTCTCTATACAAGAGAACGTTGAAAAGGTTTCAGATTTATAGTACTCTATTTAACTGTGTCCCAGACCAGACTATTTAACTGGTCTGAAACTGCTGTTTCACTGATGTGATAGGCAGTAATTTCTTCAGGCTCACCCTGCTGTGGTGCAGAGGTGGCATTCAGCCCTTCAAATGGGCTTCTCCAACACAGCATTTTGGTCTGAGGTTATGCCAGGGTTATTACAGCTGAAAGACCTTCCAAGTGTTTTCCTTCTGTGCAGCCTAATCAAGACAACTGCTTTTTAAATGAGAGTATCTACAAGATTATAAGAGTAGGTTAAATTAAATGCACTTCTGTGTTTGTTTTGTTGGCTTTTCTTGTAACTCAGTTTCATTTCAAACATAATAGACACATTTGCAAAGCATTTAGGCCATGCAAAAGACTATTACCTGGAGTGAGAGGAAAAAACCCCAACAAACCATAAAACAACAAATGCATGTTGAACTCACCACTGAGTGATTCAACTGAGTGATTTATGATTTCACCTAAAAGCTACAACTTAGAAATTTTCTTGTTAGTGAGGTAGAGTCCTGACTATTTATACTTCCATATTTTTCATTTCTCCAGCTGAAATTTTAAGGCAATTTTCATACAGTAGTTTCAGAAATAATTTTGGAGGTGCTTATCTCTGAACTGTTAATACGACTTTAATTACAGTCTTTGTTTTTTGGAGGTCTTCTTGGTTGGTCGGTCGGTTGGTCGGTTGGTTGGTTGGTTGTGTTTTGTTTGTCTGGCATTTTGGGGGTGGTTTTTTTGCTATGGAGTCACAAATGAGTTTTGACGCAAACTTGATGAGAGGTTAATGGCTGTCCTACAGGATAGCAGGAGGGAAGGAAACACTAAATAGGACGTGCAGAACAAGTCAGAACAGATCCAAGTGACAAATTATTACTCCATTTTCATTCAATCACGTATCATGATATTTGGCCTGAGTCAGTTGTTTTCCAAGCCAAAGTAATAAGATTGTAATTGTAAGGCATTGCACTGGAATTAGAATGAAATATCAGGATCTGCTTTGCTACTTATGAGCCATGCACAGTGTCTTGCTGTCCTTTTCCTGCACCAGCTGCAGGGGTCACTTGCAATTATTTCAACTTATTTGAATGCATTTAAACTTCTGGCTCGTGAGGTGTGTGCTCTGGGAGTGAGCTGTGTGTACTTTGTATGTGGGAACTCACTGAGGCATCTCACACCCAAGGGAGAGGATCCCTGCAGCCTGCTTTCCTGAGGCGGGCTGCAGGTGTGCATGTCTGCATGGGTGAGGTGTCTGAAACAGAATGAAGGACTCTTTACCAAAAATAGTGGCTTCTTGTTTGTGTTTTGTCATGGCTGATAATAGAAAAATAGCTTTAAGTTTCTTAAAGAAGTCTTTGAGTTTATAGACAAAGACAGAATTTGCTCTAACCAACTTCTTTTTTTGTGTCCATTGGCTTTCCATGAGTTAATTTTGATTAGTACCCATGTAATTAAGAGCACAGCAGAAAGAAGCATCTGGTGAGGTTCCTACTCACATGTCTTTTCCCATCCCTGTCATTCTATCACTTCAGCAAATATTGCTTAAAGCAGTACTTGCCTTTGTGTTTAGATTCAGTCTGAATAGGACAGGAAACACAGGCTGGCTCTCTGAAATCTCTTTCTCTTTTTTGTTCAGCTCTGTTTTGCAGGCTGAAGTGGACTGAGCAGCTACAATAATGTACAGATATGTACTATACAAAGTATGGGGAGCTTTTTCCCAATTTTACTGCACAAAGCAGTTTTGGGAGCAATGATGCCAGTGTGTCTGATAACTGATTTGCTTAACCAATTGAAAGCTGTATACATTGCTGTGTGAAAGTTCACCTATCTGAAAAATAAGTTTTGGTCTTGCAAATTTCTAGTTGGGAGTCACATGAGAATCTTAGTTAAGACTCCTATTTGATTTGGCCCTAATAATATCTAAAACTGTCAAGCCTGTCTGTGTTTGACTTCTAGCACATCCCAACACCTATTTCAAAATAGTCTTGTGTCATGGTTTCATTTTCAAGGGTGTTGGGTGAGAAGTCAATTAGTATTGCTGGGAAGAAACAACTAATGTTGAGGGACAAAACTTTATTTTAATTTTTTTGGGGGGGAGTTGAGGGCCTTAAATAGAAAAGGATCTCTTAATAATCTACCTTTGTTCTTATTTTTCCCCAGAATTCGTCAGTCACCTATCAAAATAAGGCATCTTGAGCCCTGGAAAATCGCTGTAATCGTTATTGGAGCAGCAGTGGCAGCAGCTATCACCATTGGTCTCCTAGTTTATTTTCTGGCATATGGTAAGTTTTGCATAATGTATCACTATTCCTATGCTTAGTGAATTTCCTCTGTCCCTGTTGTACCAGATGACACTGCGAGTTTTCACCAATCTGTCTAAAGCTTATTTGGGGAAAAAACACTGGCTTCTCTAGAGCTCTCTTTCCTTCCTCATTTAGCATCTTTGCAGATCTCCTAGGAACATTTCCTGCTCTGCAGGGTCATTTAGGGCTGTGGTTTCCGTTGGTTTTCATTTACTGTCACTCGTTTCACATTTTTCTCATGATCTACTTCTGGGATAAAGTCAACACACCAGTGTCTGGTCTCCCTTACGTGAGTGCCAAACAGAGCTTTCTGCATGTCTACCTGGGGTCTTTCTCTGTTCCCTTTCTCTGATCACTAGCAGCTTCCTGCCAGGGCTTGGTGTTGAGTGGACAGGCCAGGAAGGAAGGTAACTAAGCAGCAAGGTGCAGCTTGTGTGAGCCCCAAGTGCTGTTGGTTGGCCAGAAATGTCACTGCTGGGAAAACTTGGATTAGATCACCTAACTGGATCAAGTGATTGCTCCTAGCTTTTGGAAGCTGGATTTGAATGGGTTGGATACAGCTGAAGGCTTATCCACTCCCTAGATGTCAGGATATCAGTCAGTGCCATGTGTTTCTCTAAAGTTCATTCATCTTGGTACTTTGAGTATTGCCTGTTCTTCTTCTTTCCCTTACAGATCAGAAGCTGTTCTATTACAGTGCCAATGTAAAAATCACCAACATCCGGTACAAGAATGAATTTTCCAGACAATCCTCAGGAAGGTTTAGAGACCTGAGCGAGAGGGTTGAGAGACTGGTAAGTTTGGATCATTGTGCCTTTCCATTAAGGACTGTGTGATAATACAAGAGTCATTAATGTGAACAGTGCACTTGGGGACCACAGAGTCTGGTGTACCCTCAGTTCCCTGGTGGGCAGACCTAGGAAATGGATAGCAGGAGAGACATGATTATACCTGGCACACCAGGCACTTGCCACTTGGCATCTTCTAGCCTGTCACTTCTCTCTGTCTCTGCAGTGGTGAAGCAGATATTTAACATAATCTCAGCTCCCTCCTATATCACTGGTCATAGGATCACAGAATACTCCCAGCTGCAAGGGTCTCACAAGGACCGTGAACTCCAACTCTTCAGTGAAATGCCCATACAGTGATTGAACCCACAACCTTGGTGTTTTTAGCAACAGGTTCTAATCAACTGAGCTTATCTCATTGTTTGTGTGTGTTCTCTTTCCATGAGTCTGGCTTTGTGATTTGTGTCCCATTGTCTCTAAGGAAAGCATTCTTTTACACCCTCTCCTTTACAGGGTGGGGAACTCTACCTGTTGGGCTGCTACTATGTGTTGAGAAAACAACACATGAGACCTTTTCCTGCGCCTTTGGTATGTTTTGTTGGGAAACCCTCCTACAAATAGCAGAGGTTGCTGAGTGGCTCTCAGTCATACAGTAGCTATGGAAATAAATAGACACATTGCAATTTCCTTTCTTGTTTTCTCTTTGGGACACTACCCCAGAGATGCTAATTACAGAGTTCATCTCTATACAACAATAAGCACGTGATTGTGCTTGTATCTTTTTGTGTTTCATTCATCAGAATCCGATGCATATCTCTTACCTCCTGTTTGGCAACCATGCACAGATACCCAGTTAATAGGACAATACTTTGCCCACCCCTATCATTTAATTTAGGGCAATGTCACTTGTCCACAACAAAATGTGAGCTCTGCTGGACATTGCTCTGGAGAAGTAGGGTGCTGTGTAGGGACTTGGCAGTGCTAGCATTCTTCACAGCTCCACTGCTGAGGGCTTCAGTGATCTTAGTCAAGTTGTGCTCTTCTCTGTATGTGTCTGTTCTCTTTCTGATCTCTTTGTCTAGTGGGACCCATTCCAGATTTCCCAGGACGTACTTCTGGTGCATATCTGTATGCATAGAGTCTCACACGGGCTGTGTTGGCTTAGGTGGTACCACTTTACAGCTATTGCCTAATAATTGCAATAATTTTCACCTTGTGATATAGGACCTTGGAGAGGGAATGTTCTCCCTGACCAAGAAGACACTGTATTGCTGAGGGGGGAGAACAAAGGCAAGGACTGAGAAGGAGGCTGAGGAATAACACTTCACTGTCTACAGTTGTATCCCTTCCTCCCAATCCATTCCTTCTTCATTTTCTTTTAAAAACATGTGCCTCCTTTGGCAAAGAAACACCCATTTTAGCTAAGGAGTTATTTCAGACAGTGTCCAATGCAATCAGATTTCCTCTGAACATGGCTATCAATTTAGATGCTTGAATGGAAGCCAATGCTTTAGAAACCCCCTCTCCTCTCTGGGTGTTGAGCAGTTCTGACAGTAGTGACAGTAAATACCAGTGCAGGTTGAGCAGTGAGAACTATTATATCAGGGCATGTTAATTGCACCTGATAAGTAACACCATAACAAACATACACAGAACTGTGCTGTCTTTCCTTCATTCCTGTAATTTTTCTTAAGAGCTTTCCTTAATTCAGCCATTAAATTCTATGTTCCTCTCTCAAATTTTATGAATTCTTTGCTTCTATAAATGGTCCCTGCTGTAAGTTTGACTTTTTGTGGTTTTAGTTCCAGGTGTTCCATTTAACAAGGATGTATGAGATGGAGAATTGTCTGTAACCTTATTGAAAGCAACTCCATACAGTAGTGAAACAATATGTTCCTTGTAAGTCTGATTTTATAACAGCAAAACTCATCTTGTGGTGATAAAAATCAAAGCAATCTTTCCAGACACATGTATTCTCTTAATAGCTTGACAGACAGCTGTCTCAAAACATTTGCATTTTTATTCTCAGCATCTTCACAGCAACTCTGTGATACAGGAGGAAAGACTTGAGTTCTTTATCACATTTTCTAATTTGCCTGGATTTACCAAAACCCTTTGCAGTCTTTCCCTGGCTGGTTTTGGATATCCAAGCCTTTACATTGTCATAGTAGTAACGATACCCTAAGCTCACGTTGTGAAACAGTGAGTCAATGCAGATAAATGCAATGTCTTTCTCAATACTTGGTGCAAAGTGAACAGAAGTGAATCATCTCTGATAATCAGAAGCATTCAAATTACCTGAGTTAGTGCAACTCCCTGCCAAGTGTTCCCTTCTCTGACTCCTTCCTGATGAAGCTCTCCTTCATTTGTCTCCAGAAAGCTCCAGAAAAGAGCTCATTTGAGAGCTGGTGTTTCATCAGGAAAAATGTTTTTGCTTCCATATGGAAGCCATGTCGTGACTTCCTTGGGACCTGCCACAAATGCCCGATGTTTGCTTCGGTTTCCAGATTTGAATAGAAACACCCATTGTGTGAACAACATTCCTGACTCTTATCTCATTGAAGGTGGGAGGGAATGCAGCCAGATCATGCCAGAGAGCTGATGAGGCTGGTGCACCAGTCAACATCTCAGGGCTGACTGGAAAGTCTGGAAAATGTCTTCTGGGGTGGAGCTGAGGGGACTGAGGAACAGATGATGAAAGGTCTTTGCTCCTTGACTGGCTTCCTGTAAGTGTCTATGAGCGTTTCCTTTGTGCTCTCCTGAAAATCAGACTTGACTGAATGCCACTAGGGAAAGAGAGATTCCAGCTCACCAGAGCCTCCTCACTTTTCGAGTTGGACCAGCCCCTCTTCCCCTTGCCAAGCTAAAATGTTCTGTGCCAGACTGTCTCCTCTTACACTGGATAAAAAGGGCATAGTCTCAGCCTTACAGCTCCTTCTCCAAGGAGTTTCTATTTTATAGTGGGTTCACTTATTGTGTGGCTCCTCTGCACAACTTTTATGCACTATTTTTCTCCAACTCCTTCACCAGACTTGGATTTCCTTTTCTTCTCCCACAAAATGTATTAATTCTTTTGGATTTCCCAAGAATGCCTTGGAGACACTAACTACTCTCTTACTAACAGTATCCTGGAGGAGATTTCCAATGCCCTGCTTTAAGCTTTGCTTCTTCAGCCTCTCTGGCATGCCAAAGGGCAGAGGGAGCTGTGACAATCAGATAGACCTGGGTGATTGGGATGATCCCAGTTGCCTACTCTGGGCAGCTGCAGTCAATGCCCTGTGTGCAGGAAAAAGGGTGGAGGGGTGTTCTGTCTTGTGTAGAAAGTCATCTTTGACCCCAAGGAAAGAGGATGTGCAGTCAGGAGAGCTTGAAATGAGTTTATCAGTCTCAGTGGAAGTTGTCTCAGCTGAAGGCTGGCAAGTTTCTAGCTGTGAGAGAGAGGTGATCTCTGCAGTACATGGCTGGTTGCTCAACAGAAATAGATATCAGCCTTTATCAGGGGTTTGTAAATGTACCTGTTGGCTCTTTTTTGCCACTACCATAAATTTCTGATACTTCCTCCTAGAAGTATGTGGGCTTTCCCCTCCTCAAGGAGAGCCTAGGAACCTTTCTTCCTTCTCAGGCACCTTGTTATCTCCCTGTCTCCTTCTCTGGCCAGAGCTGTTCCCAGCTCTGCTGTGTGGCTGCTTCTCCCTGTCTGAGTCCATGTGTCTCTGTGGAACCTTGTGCTGGACACTGTACCCTTCCCAGCTGTCTTTCCCTACTCACTCCTGCTCCCATGTGCTGGTAAGCCTGGCTGTGAGCTGGGTGGAGGGATGTTCCTCAGGTGTGAGTGTAGCAGGGCTCCCTCCTTAGTTGGTTGGGTGGCTGAGGGAGAGTTGAGGTGTTTGTTTTCCCTCCTGGAGTGCCTTGAGCCATGGAATGGACTAACTTGGGTTTTCCCTTTTGTCTCATAATCCAGAAGGCACCTGGACTACCCCCTTGTCCTTCCACCATCTGAAACTAGCACAGAACTAACTGGCTGGATCTGGGCAGAGGGGTTGGGGATTATATTAAAACAGTACCTGGATGCTTCCACTGAGAAACCACTGCCTATACAAATATTTCTATTGAATTAATGGAATTTCATGAAGTAATTTTCACCTCAGAACTCAGCATTGTGTGTCAGGACATCTCCTTTAGAAACAGATATCTTGCTTCAGCTACTTCAATGACAAGAGAATCTTCTATGTCCTTAAGTACAGGTGTTGGGGGAAAGTTTTTAATTAATGCAGGTCTTGAAGTTTGACCTATCTGATAGAGCTGTATTAGTGTGGGTTTAATTTAATGCCTCTACTGGGTATTGCAGAGACACTTGAGATTCCACTGGAAAATGCTGCACATCAGTTCTTATAATAGTGTCTGTTCTCAGCAGGTTGAAGGGCTCACTGGTGAGTCCCTCTACTGGAACTGGTGAGGAAGGAGGCAGTTTTCTCCCTTGGGAGATGATGATTTTAGAGGTTATTAAGACAAATCTCTCACTGTGAATTGGGTGGAGAAGAAACAGAGAAGCAAGCAGGTGTCATGCATCTCCTTCCCTCCCCCCCAGCTCTGATACCTGATAACCCTGTTTGGTGGAAGGGTTAGCCTTCAACAGGATGCTTGTGACTGAGAGGCTCTCTGCTTTATACCCAGGGATAAGCTTGCATCATCCCAATATTGGGAAGTATCTTGAATCCTATAAGTTGTGAACAGATTACTGTCACATCTGCAGGGCCAAAGGATCAGTCAAAGTTCTGATTAGGGTTTCCATCTGATCTGGACTCCAAGGAAGTCTGTCTGAAAACACCAAGAACACTGGTGAGTGAGCAGATGAAGCTGCTGCTTTACAGCACTTGGCCTTTTAGGGTCACAGATGACTCAAATCTTCCTGGGGAGCAGAAGTGTGTGTATTGAGAGAGAGAGGGTGGTGAAATACAAATCCCTTCAGAGCTCATAGCTGCAAAACCAGGTGAAACTGTGCATGA